TAGCCGACAGAGTTATTTACCTGTTTTCTGAATGTCCAGTAATCGGTAGGGTCTGCATATGTATATTGTGCCCACTCCTTAACCATGTACTCTGGCACCATAGTTCCTTGTATTTCTCGTAGAATGTCCCTCAGCACTTGATGAGTGACTTGTAAGCCACGTGATTGAACAGCAGCCAGACGGTCATAGTAAAGTGCTATTGGAGAGTCCGACTGAAGGTGTTTACGGCCGCAACGCTGTAGTATGTTACGACATATGTGAGTTAATTTAACTTAAATGATAAATAATGTAAGGGAAAAGGTGATTAAGAAAATGCAGTTTAGAAGATAACAGCAAAACGTGTAATCGCMTTCCTTTCCTTACCTTACTAAGAATTTCTCGCAGAGATATCAACGACGGACTGTCCTATAAGATTAAAAGAAGATAGAAAATATAAAGCTGCATCACTTGACAATTTTAATTTTAATTTTAGGTCCCTCTCAGTAGGTGATTTTCCCCTTACATCCACTTTTTAGACAAACTGGTCGATCAATTCGAGTTAATCACAAGTTGTTAGGCATGGATGAAACTAGTTCTTTCATAATTAACTCTTTCTTTATCTACAATGGACAAAAATAAAGCAGATAAAAAGTTTCTTTCAAAYAAGGRCCGGATTTGAAGAACTAATACATCTTCTTGTGATGGYTGGAAAACACGTTTGGTGTAGCCTCTGCGTAGCAAGCCGTTCCTTGCCGCTCCGAGAGAGTTTGGGCCGGAGAAACTCAGAAGGCAACAAATACGGTATTCTTCCTTTCCTTCGTAGAAGTGTGTGCAAAAAAACCTTGTTTAGCAGGGTACTGTAAGAGGAGATGAAGCTATAAAGTGTAATAAACCAATACCTCAATAAGTCGCATTTGAGGTGATACAGCAACCACTTTCGGTACAGTGAACAGCAAGTTTCTTTTACAAGATTCCTACAAAAAAAGATAAAACTTAATTACAGACAAAGAAACAGTAAAAAGTTACTSAAAAGTGATCAATGGTGACTCAATGATCGTGATTCCGTTTAATGTATTAACTATACTCACTTTTCTCTTCTCAAAGTACAAGTTGAGCAGTCTTAAAAGTTGTAGTATTCTCTCTTCCCTACGAGACTCTGTCATACAAGCATCATTTACCACAAGATACGGATAGACCTGAAAAAGGAAACTGACTTTAAYAATTTTACTCCACATAATATATAAAGACAGATAAAACCATACCTTGCCGTTATTGCCTCTAATAAAGAGTCTTCGTGCAGAGAAATTATGTTTCTGAACGAGCTCAACTCTTGGCATAAATCKTGCGATTCGAATGTAATATGGACTRTGCTGTTAATAAAATTCAATTGCATTTATTCAATATTTAATTTAGCAAATGGAAAAATATCGAGATAGATGGAAATGATTTATAAATGACAGCATCTGACACTAACTGTGTTCGCTTTTGGCATCAAAAATTCTCCAGGAAGTTCTACTTCAGCAGTAGAAGTTGTAAAGTTACTCAGGAAACGACATCGATCTTCAAGCAGGAAAGAGCTGTAGACAAAAAAATACGATGTAAAGATAATAACATTATACACTAACCAAAGTCATTTACCTTGGTAACARTTTTGCCTTTTCTTCAAGAATCTTTATCCATTTCTTAAGTTTTCCAATYAGATTATGAAGTCCCATCGCCCCAGGAACACTACAAATGCAAGAAAACTGATATTCACGTTGAGGTTGTAGCTAAAACTAATTAATAACTAATTCTCCTTAAATGAATTGAACAGTATATACAGTTATATCCATCCATAGTAGCTATTTCAAAAAACGTTTATCGGGGAGACAGGGTACTGGTGAGTGTTGAACGGTGATTGTACGACATACTTATTCGTATCCAAAACGCTTGCAAACTTCCAACATTTTCGGATATAAGTGGATGCGTTCCGTAATCGTATCCGCAATTCTTTTAAGATTTGAAGATATAAAATATCCGGCATCGTGTGGAAATACAAGCCCTACATCACTAATGTTTTTTTTCCTCTCCACATTCGCCCAATCATTACATAACGAAATACATATACTCCAATGCCAATCTACAAATTTCAAGTGCCGAAACGATAATACGATAATACGATAATTACGATAATAATATAATAAACTGTATCGAAAACTTTACATTTAGMAAATTAAAGATGGAGGAGAAAAAGGTGACGAAACTCAAGTTATACAAAACTATCATTTGTTGATTTTAATCATTAAAATAGTCATCAAACCTGAAATCAAAGTCTGTTGCAAATTGCTCTTTCAAACGCTGGAAGACTGGGTCTTGTGCGGTTGCTTGCGCTCGTCTCGCAAGCGATTCGGACGCTGCTGTCGATAAGGTTGTTGAAACACTGGAGGCTGGTTCAAATCCAATCCCAAATGTACTGACCAACTTCTTGACAAAGCTTAATGTATGTGGAGTAATACGGGCATTGGAAACTATGGAAATACATCATATTTCGTCAAGCTGTGCTCAGTCAATTCAAGTCAATTCATTTAAATTATTGAACTGTAGAACTGATTGATGGTAAAACAAGGGAATTTACTGGGATAAAACAAGGTTGACTGAGGTGATGAGAAAAAGTGTCTTCACTCACCATCCCCTCTCGTTTCAAAAGCCACTTGGTAACACTTAGTTAAACCTTGTCGTAGTTGACGAAGCACTTCTTCGTGCCAACATTCACGAAACCAAACCATCTGATCAACAATTCCCTCAAGGGCAGATAATAATGTAGGATGAAGATCCCTCAACATGTGCATTATCTTGCTGCATCGCCACATTTGTGCAGTAGCCCGTATAGTACCTGTGTCACTCTGACTACTTGAATCTGCAGAAAATTTGAGGTCAACCGTTAAAAGTTAGAAAATCTAATGCATTGACATATAACAGGAAAGACGTTTCACTAGTGACCGTTAATCAAACTGATCAATGTTGTTTATGACTGTTTTTATTTTATTTTATTTCTCAAAGCAGTGCTCTCTACAATCATCTGTGAATACCGATGCAATGATTTACTTACTTGAGCTAGTCGAAGGGTTTCCTCCATGCTCAGATGAGCCACCAGTAGATATGGGTGTGGACGACGAGGTTGTCAACGACTGTAAAAAAGGATGTGAATTCAGTTAGATCCTGCTACAGAAGAGCACCTAAAGGGCTGATATGGAAAGGGAAAGTTTAAGTTTTGTTGTTGGTGAAATGCGAGTTCGCATAACCTGCGCAGACACGAGCTCCTAGCTGCTAGGAACGCCTAGCTATGCAGGCTAGAGTTTTCAAGATCTATACAATCACTGAATAAAATCAATTTTATACTATAGCTAAATTCTAACACGCGCGTTGACTGGTGGATTTCATTAGAAAAGCTATGGTTTATTTCGCCGRTAAACCGCTTGCTGTCTTGAAAGATTTTTGAGTCTAAATGGTGRACGCCGGCTATAATATAAAAGCAATAAACGATAGCTTGAAGCGGTTTACATGGCGAAATAAACCGCTTGGGATGGTTGGGAGAACACTCGAAAAGGTAGATCGCTCGCCTGACGGCTGGTGATTTACTGATCTTTTCTCGTGTTCTSCCAACCATCCCTCGCGGTTTATTTCGMCAGTAAACCGCTTCAAGMTATCGTTTATTGCTTAAAGATACACAGAAGCGATAACTGTCAAGATGTTGGTCAGTACTATACCTTGGCCATAACAGAGGATGATGATATTACACCTAAAAAATTAAAGTACTTTTATTACAGAAAGGTAATAAATCTTCTGAAATAATAAGATGCAAGGGTAGTCTGGGAAAGAAATCCAAACATAKATAAGGCTTTTCAGGGTGCAAGGGTGCAAGGGTGAGAAGTTGAACTGACGAAAAAGGAATTCCCCATATAATGTTGATTTCACAACCGGTCTGTTYCTTACACCAAACAGTGTCTCTCACAGCAATTAGATGGGACTCTGTACCTGTCGATGTAGCTTGCGAGGTTGTTATGGTTGTTGATGTACCTTTAGTACCAGTGTCACTAGATGACGGTGTTTTGTTATCATTGGCAGAGKTTGGTGAGGCAACACTAGCTGATGTACTTTGACTCATTGTACGATTAAYTGCAGCAGCAGCTTCAACTTTGTCTAATRAAACATACAAAAGACAACAATAACCGCGGTGTCCATTACTCATATATTCAATAAAGAGAATCAAATGAAGCACTTCTTTGACATAGGGTGGACTATGAGATGCCGTTACTGTTGTATTTCAATGATGGCAGAACACGAGCCAACTAAGTTCACTAKCAACCAATGGAAATACTTTCTATTCAAAACTAAACTATTTGTTTCATGAAATGCAGTGCGTTTGTACTTACGTCTTTCTCTTTGTTCTATTTTCCATGTCAAGTAAAGAGTTCGAATGGGAAAATACATCGCCTAAAAAAAAATCCCTGTACTTAGATTCATTTCTTTTCCGCTATTAGAATTCTAAGCAATGTTTTGCTGCTGTTGTGAGTATGAAGAATTGTTAAATATACCTGTGGATAGACTCGCCCTATGTTACCAAGCAAGTTGAGTATCTTTTGTCCTTCTCGTCGTACTAGACATGTAAATAGCTGTGGTATCCTACAGACAAAATAAATAATACACTTGATTACATTATATATATYTAAGAAGAGGTTATTAAGTTCAACATAATGCAAAATTTTACCAAGGTAGCCAGTGAACAGGYGGGACACCAACACAATATTTGTCAACCGCATCAGCTATGGAACCCTAACAAAGWASATTTACAGAGTTTATGCACCTCATTGATAAAATATTGGAGATAAAATGCGCATTGCTAATAGTTTGAAGACATGCCTCGCTGGCTTTGCATTATAGATGTCAAAAAYATATTTAAGTAACAGAAGGCTTGGTGTTTATATCAAAATGAACTTTCATTTAAGTAATAAAGAATGGATTGCCGTACGTTTATCGGTAAAATAAACCACGCRRGGATGTTGGGAGAACACGAAAAAAGGACCTAAAAAAAGGCCGCATCCAGCTGAAATTTTAAGGGGAGGCTAAATGGTTTTAAGGGKYCTAAAMGGGAATTATCTTTTATAAACAACATTGAAAATAATAAAAAACAGTTAGTTATTTTCTGCTCAGAGGACGGAGGGGGGCGCACTTGTATAAAATCGCCAGCGCAGCGAGAAATTGTGGCGTCTGCATTTATCGGCGAAATAAATCACGTTCCAATCAGAGCGTTCGTACTAWTACATCTATAATTACATCTTCAAACACCGGGACAAAGGAAAGCTAAGGTGTACCTTTTCGTCATCATAAGTCATTAACCAGATGGTTCTTGCAAGATACTTTCTGCATTTGGCTTCATTTTGATGACGACAAGCGTGTAAATAGCACACAATGGCAGATACTCCAAGCTGCATATTCCTGTGTCAGAAATACATCATTACATCACCTTCTGCAGACTACAGAAGAACACATGAAATCTCAGTAAGTCATTGGTTTATGGGTCTTTAGATGGTTACCTTTCTCTAGTAAATAGATTATCCAAGTAATCRCCCCATAATGCCCAGGCCTTAACCAGCGAGTCATGCATCTGTACTGCCTGTGAAAAAGCCTTATTTGCATCTTCAGATCTGCAAATAAAAATGAGCTACTGCTTATATCAAGTACAAMATAAATTATGATTGACTGCGTGGGCTCGATCGCATTTAGGGACGTCTCTGGTTTAGCACAGTTCTTGCTGTTTACAACACTTTGTTGCTTACAAATGAGGCCTGTTCCTGTGCTCCAGTGTGCACGCCCAGCCAATGGCATGAACGGTTATCGCCATTGAAAAAAATATAGTAGAACTCTGCATATATATATATTTTTTTTTCATTCGCCACGCTGATTCCAATTTTTAAACAGATACCTTCCAATATGAGCTAGAAACATGCCCTTCAAAGCGAAGAATTCAGCTGTCATTTCCTTTGTGAAATACTTTAGATTGGTTGATTCAATTACTTCAAGACCCTGCAGTCAAATCAATAACATCGATTAATGATTAGAAATGAAAGATTGAATATAATTGTCAATATGATCGGAGGCAATAAAGAAAGATGGAACAGATAAAGATGAAGAAGAACAGCAGTGCAACAACAAAGTACACTCGTGTACGTACTTCTTGTAGCTCTGTCTTCCCCATACTACCAGCCATTTGTAGGTAGCATTTGACCTGTTGTCGAATCTTTTGAAAGCAATCAACTATAGGGACACTGGGTATTGTATGGATCCTAAATAGAATCAGTGGTTAAATAAGTCAAGACTAACAAAAGTCATAGAAAAGCATATTATACTACAATAATGATAGAAAGACGTGTGCAATGAAGTGATAATACTGGACAACATAGRCCATTTAGAATGGACAACGATTCACGTAATCAAAAAGAAAAACAATGTTACTATTTCCTGGCAGTCTCATCACGTACTAAGTGCAAGTCGATGGTTGAGTACTGGTCAAAGATAATTTCAAAATTTTTAATAATCTTATAACTTTCCCCTTCTTTGTAAACAAAATTATTATTTGCACCAATATGAACATTTGAGAGATGTGATATAAGGTATACCTGCTGAGCGAGTCTAGACATACTCCAGTAAGATTTTGTTTCCTTGCAATATAACCATAATGGATGATGGCCCAGGCAGAAGCATGAACACCCAACATGGCATGGTTTGATTGTTGCTGTGTAAAAGATATTGACATTTGTATATTTTCGAACTTTAGGATTTGTGCACTTTACCAAAAATTATCATCATTTATTGTGTGTTTTCATGTTACGTGATGAATTGATACCAAAGCTGCATTTCAAATTATTGTATAGTCAAGACAATTGGCAGCGATTGACTAATAATGCAATGGTACTGGTCTGGAGCCAGTCGACGTACGAAGGGTAAATAGCGCTATCCACCATATCAATCCTTAAAATATCGTACAAAATCTAAGGAGCGAATAACTGTAACTGGAGAACAACTTTGTTCACCCTTCGTACAACCSGCCCCTGAATTATACAGGCCAACATAAAGAACGCTTTGTAATGTTATGCTTTTTTACCTCATGTGAAGACTGGCCGTCATATGCAGCAACAATGGCCTGGTAATGATGATGACGCCACATAAAGATGTCACTCCAATGAGAAAGCTTATCTGAGGGCATTGGCAGTCTATTCCTAAACAAGGATGATTTTGTAGAGTTATCGCTGCATTTTTTTAAAATAATAATTAAAATTATTCGTAGTAAACAAGTATTCACATATCAATTTTTATGCTAAGCTCTTGGAATTATCAATTTCGTATAGAACACTGTAAATCTGTTTTTCGATTTCTTGTATGATAGCTTGTGTTTACCTCCACGTTTTCACTATGGCCTTCATGTCATGTAAGCTTGCACTTCTACCAACACTATTGGGCTGCAATCCAATGTGAATTTGTGCTGCTTCTTGTAATTCAATAATTTGTTGAGCAGCCTAGRCATGAAGATAGAAAAACGGTGTGYTTATACTTAAATGAAGAACAAAAAGAAACAAATGTCTTAAATACAGTAAGTACCTGAAGTAGTGGTAAATGCTGATGCGATATTATTGGTGGAAGTCGCCTCCACTGTCGAATGGATTGGGATGTGGAATGCTCCACCAGTTTATCAACCTGACGAAATAAACAGATTCATAATCACAAAATACACCAATTCCTCGACAAATAGAATCCATTTTCAAACATTACTACGATACTACTAATGATTTGCCGTAAAAAAATAGTTGAGATTCATTCAATCATTACTGACCATATTAAGATGTGGTTCGTCTGGATGACAGATAGCAACAAATCCTCTGTAAAGACTGAGCTTGTATGCAATGTTTTCTGGGAAATTTAACTCAACCTTAAATTAAAGAAAAAACGTTAGAGCAAAGTAAAAAAATAACATGATCCTTTTATATGTATTACCTGAGATAGAGCATCTTTCATTGCCTGCCAATCAGGAACACGCCAAGAACTTTCCAGTACTAAACATTACATTATTACACATTATTACATTTGATAAGTTAGTACTACTCAAAACATACTTTTTCGGTAGCTCCTCTCAATGTACATTGACCTTCAAAACCGTTTTTGCARTATTTTCTTCGTTAGTTTTCACATTTATTTACTTTATTATTTGAAAATTAATTTAATTTAGTTTATAGAAAAAGGAGTAAGAGTTGACTCAGTACAAAAATACTATTTTCACACAATTGCTTTGAAATAATTTCAAACGTTTAATTGATCATCATCATTCGAGTCAAATACGTCTTTTGCGGACATTATTTTGAATTGCAAGGACAAAAATCTTAGTTACCTAATACTGGATTAGGGTGACTCTTTGATTTACCAAACTCCATCAGTAAGTCCCACTGACCTAACTCTTTAGCACACCTAATAATACATGATTGTTACAAAAGTACCATTAATAACTGCAAGCACACGTTTTGTGTCACGTATATAGCATAATGTATATAATACAAGCATATTTAGCGAATCTTGAATTAAGTGCATTAAACAAGATCAAAATGACTTTTCACCTCAGCCAATGCGTCTCCCAAAGCTTGTATTCTGAAAGAACAGCAGGGCTTGCAGGCGCTTTATTGTGCTCATCACGAGCTTTGTTCATAGCCTAGACAAATTTGTAGCAATTCATCAATTATTTGATTGTGTTAATTGCTTTTTAAAGAATATATAAAAAGGATTTATTTATAGAACAGTATACCATAGTAACATCTTTGTATACCAGAGAACCATTCAATGAAGATAACATTTATAGAAGAAATAGCTGAGTACTCCTAGGATAGCTTGAGCTAATGACAGGAGTCTTCTTACCATTTCATACACAGTTTGAGCTTGCTCAAAGAATCCTTGTGTTTCATAGGCTATTCCAGTTGCTGTTTCTGGATTCCTAAATCAAGATACAAAATCGCATTGTATATTATCAAATCAATCTCACCATTTTGAGTAAAAAATCATTGATATTATACATGTATATTATGTTATAACATTGATAGAGTCCAAGCACTAAAGTTGCAAAGTAAAAACTACAAATAAAAATTCTACGTTTCGTTACAGTTAAAACAACGCAATACAAAAATGAGATTATTAGTGGCGTTCTACCTGTAACTACATGTACTTCCAGGATCATGGACGACTAACTTGGTAACCCGTCTGACCCGTGACACACTCACTAATTTTACTTCTATATTACATATTGCTCTACCAACCTGSATCGCTGTTGCCATAGTGAGGCCCACATATCTTCTTCATTCAATAATGAATACATTTCTGCCAGACTATCCAATGTTTCCTAAAATGTTTCAAACATTATTTTTACCCCCAAACATTATCATATTCACATTAATAAGAATGAGGTTTTATACAAAGTACATACATTGGGATTGATCTCTGTTGCATCTTCATCATACAACGTGTAATCCAGGGATTGTTGCTGTGTGATGTGTGGATTTGTGAACTCATCACATAGTAATGCATACTCTTCCAGAGTTAAAGCAGACCGATGCCAAGAATTGTGTGTCTTCCCAAGGTACTGATTAAAAATATATACATATATCCTTTAGTTATAATGTATTATTGAGTTGGTTACCCAATGTTTCTAAACTTTCATAAAGACATATATATATATATATAAAGCATATAAAGTTATCTACATAACCTATTTTAAAGACTATAAATTATTAATAATACTTAACAATGGAGCTGTTTCAATACCTTTAATATACAAGGTCTAATTGGTATTGCTGGATCACATTTAGACACACCCTCTAGAATACTGTGTACTGCACTTGGATGTACATCCACCTGAACCAAGTGACTTCCACTACACATGAATGGACTTAATTCTCCTGCCAATACCTTTTCAAGAACAATAGTCAGGCATTAATATTTTGCTTTCAATTCAAGACTGTAATCAAGTAAAAAGTATTTTACCTGTTGCTGCCGATCAGACAGTATGCTCCATAACTGTGGAAAAAGGTGAACCCATATCTTGTGTGCAAGCTTTGAGGTACTGTGGCAAAGCTGAGCCATTGCACCAAGAAATGAAGCAGACTGAAAAACACAAGATTGCATAGTTACAGAAATCATGAAGACAATTTTTTTACTATTGAGTAAAGTTTTAGGGACAATATTCAGCATTATAATAATACTTTCTTGAAAGAATTATTTACTTGCTGCAAATTTACCAAGTGATGACGATGTTTTATTGCTTACAGATTATTTAATACTTTTCCAATAGATTAGGATACTAGAAACATTATTATTRCGAATCATTGTCACAGGGTTTTTTTTAAATATACCTTCACATTATGTAGCTCTTCAAGAAATTTTGTATGAATTGCCACTAAATTCTGTATTACATGCTGACTGTTTTCAACTTTGTTCCTCTTTTCCATTAATTCAAATAGTTTCTAGAAAACAAAATAATGACAGTGTATTAAGATAAGATTATTGTCAGCACAGACCACATCAAATCTAGCAGAACATACATTGGCATCAGACTCTCCAAACAAGAATATATTTTCTTTTTCTTTTTCTGTTTCCTCTTTCTTCTCATCAGTTTCCATGGATTCTTGTAATTTAGATTCGTTAATGTTACTGGTAGCTTTGCTCAAGATTTCCTTGGCAAGTGGACTGTCATCTGAGCGTATGAAGGATGTCATGGATGGCAGCAYACTGAAGGTACTGGATGGTGTGATTGGACGTTCACAATCTGACACAGCAAGTAGCAGCTGCACGATACAAACGCCATAAATCAATTTAGTAACAAAACATATTTTTTCAAACCAGGCCTATTAATATCCAAAAAAAAAAAGATTCAGAAAGATCAATCACCAAATTCCCTTGCCATCCAATGAGTTTTTTTATATCAACCCAGGTTAATTACTGGATATTAACCTAGAATTCATGAAATAAGTGAATAAGGAGATATATAGTCCCACAGACAACAATGAGATCAAATTCAGTGATATCATGATATTTTGCTTTTGTTCCTGTTGAGATTACTCCATTAAGTCACTTTTAGACAAAGGCATGTCTACCTAGTGAAAACACTAAGAGTAAGGAAATTTTATTTATACTGTAACAGTAAAAAACTGGGAATCAAACTAGGACAGCAGCCATGATAGACAAATGTTGTACAATGGCAGACACTCATATCTCCTCTCCGAGAAAGGAACAAATGGTTCCTTACCTCTATACATTGCTTGATCCAAAAGTGTGCACCCATGGCTTCCCAATTCTAAGGAGATTTGTATAATACTTACATCAAATGTTACAAAAAAATATATCATTCCAGTAGAACAAAACACAACTTACCTGTGAGCAAAAGATATAAACGAGACGATCATAGAGTTTTTTCTTCATGGTCTTATCAAAAACCTACAGATAAATAAAATTGATTTACATCATTATTTCTAATTTGAACACAATAAAAGAACAGTCAGACAAATTCAATCCAATGCACATTTTACCCTGTAACAGAAGCACCAGATGTTAATTGAAAGAAAGAGGTCAAGTATAACACTAATGTTATTTAAGAACTATGAGCATGAAGTGCACAGATGCTTTAATTTACCTCCATAAATCGTGATCTGATTTGAGGTTGCACACAACGCAGACCTGAGAGGAATGCTGGTTCAAGTTTAGATGCCAACTCTGTGATTAAGAGTGTTTCATCTCTACAGAAATACACACAAAGGTGTTATACATGTAAGTTTAAAATGTTTAAATTAGAATAAAATTTTAGTATTAAAGCAGTTCACCCTACCTGTATACAAAATTTACTAGCTCCAGGAATTGTGCCTGCAGTTCAAAATCGTCTGGGAATCTTTTCTCATAGTTAATCATCATTCGGTACAACAGAACTGTTTTTTCTCGTAGCGTTGGGAGATGCTGTATAGTCAGCTGAGTCTGGAACAATCCAAACATATTAATAACAATAATTATTATGCATGTAACTAATAAAAATATATATTATTACTTTTTGTCTTATTTAACAAGAACCCCTTCATGGAACATACCATGTCCAGGTTATGCTAATATATACTTTTACCAGCGCCACGATTGATTTGATAGATTTTGCGTACGATCTTCTCTTTAGCATTCAGATTGCATTCGCATTGTCCTCAGAGAATTTATAAGATGAAAGTTCGCTTTGCATAAAATGATTTTAGTTATAAAAAGAAAAAAAGAATGAGTATATTTTAAAGTTAAAGAAAGAAAGAAAAAATGTGTAAAAGCTGCTCGAGTCAAGAATCGAACCCAAGATTGTCAGTTTAACGCCACTATTCAAGTATGATCTTGCGTGTAAAATATGTAAAACAAATATTTACAGAAAAATAAGAATAAGTACATTTCAGTAAATAAAAGAAGGAAAGAACAAAGAATCACTTAGAAGTGATCGAGTCGAGAATCAAGGCTGTGATCCTAAGTTCGACGCTATTCGAGTACAATAGTCTGTGTAAAAATCAAAATAATGGCTCAATAATAATTATTAAATGAATATGTACAGAAAAAATTAAATAACATGACTATAACAACTTCATTTCAGTTAAACGGAAAGAAAAAAAAAGTGCTCAAGACAAAATTTGAACCCGTGATCCTCTGTTCAACGCCACTATTCAAGTATGATATTGCGTGTAAAATATGTAAAACAAATATCTACAGAAAAAATAAGAATAAGTATATTTCAGTAAAAAAAAGAATCACTTAGAAGTGATCAAGTTAAGAATCAAGACCGCMATCCTAAGTTCGACGCTATTCGAGTATAAAATTCTATATAAAATCAAAATGGTTCGAAAAATAATTATTAAACAAAATCTACAGAAAATCAAAATGACTATATAACAACTATATTATATTTAAAAAGAAAGAAGAAAAAAGTGCTCGAGATGAGATTCGAACCCGCAATCCTCTGTTTGATGCCGCTGTTCGAGTATCATCTTGTTTCTAAAATTTAACAAACGTGGCTCGTAAATATTAATAAAACAAATTGCTACGATAAAAATCTAACATGACTAGAACATTTATATTTCAATTAAAAAAAAACCTGTGACGTGGAAAAAATAAATTTATAAAAAATAAAGTCGCTGCATTTTATAACCKTGCCGCAGGACACGGTAATCAGCAGTAGCAATTGATCTTACCACTTTTGTTTTGATCCATTCTTCAACAATTTTGGTAATGGCCCTCAGTAATTTGGAATCCTACAACAGAAGGTTGTCATTATTTAGCCAATATATAATTATGAATAGCATTTATAAGATGCATATAGATATGTATTCACAACACAGAGGCCCAAATAGTTCAAAACACGTTGCTCGTATTTCAGTGAATAAAATCTTTGAATTATACTGCTTCCATGCCATTTCTCAAATTCTTGAAGTTGATTTTATTGTCCTAATTCTATTGTTTTCTATGGTATAACTAACACCATAATGTATTTGATACTAAATAGTACGCTTTTACAGTTTGTACTCTATWAAAGTAACCAGAAATGTAATTTGTGTAAACTTTGTCAGTAAATTAAATCCACTCCTTTATTGCATCAGTCGTGGGTGGGAGAGGAAAAACAATGACAAATTCTACAATTTCAATCCCAAAGGTGGTCACGGTTGCCTACAAGAGTGGTCGCCTACGACAGAGTTTTTTTTACAGAGTTTATATGGGAAACAAATGGGAAATTTAAAAGGTGGTCGCTTATGGGAGATGGTCACCTACGAGAGTGGTCGTTCAAAGAGAGTTAACTGTATTTCATATCATAGCCTATAGAGTGGAACTCAATATTAACACAGCATTTTTATAAACAAATAACTACTAAAAACTAAATAAAACTAAGCCATTTTCAGCATTTGCACAGACATGGCATCTGTTCTATTTTAAGTCACAAAAGTAACACATAATTATATACTAACTGGAGATTTCTCAATAAGAGTGACAACAATGGTGAAGAAATGTTTTCGTATTTCTGCAGTCATTACTCCTATTCTATTCTTGATCAGCTCCAAACACAAAATAAGCATCTCACTGGCACCTGCAAAGAGTTGATAAAATTAATCATCAGCACACTATAAATCTGCTGTCCCTTGAGATTGTTTTAAACAATCATAATGTAATAGCATGTTCCATCTTGGGTATGATAGCAACAACAAACAGCATGTACAAAATAATGAACAAAATACTGGTGATTTGTTTGGCCAGTTAACAACAGRAGCAATGAATATTCAACAATTATAATTTCAATTAACACATAACATATTATATTCAATTTTTCTTGACGGGTATATATATCATTACCTGTACTCTCTCCTAACACAGCATTGATGTGGTCTTTGTGCATCCTTTGAAGTGCCCTCATAAATGGATTCATGAGGCTTAAATGGAAAATAATTATTAAAATAGCTCTACATACAAGATGTTAACAACAAACAAGGTCAAAAACCACTGACAGTTCTCATGTCGAGTAGCTTTGAGCATATTCTTATGCGTGTAGAAAAACTACAACACTTAAATAAAAAGGCCTTTTTACTGTGCTATTACACACTTGTCTAGTTCTTTACAATTCTATGTGTTCATTMTGCAAAATGTAAACAATATATAGAATTCTACAATATTGCTTAAGACTTCAGCAGCCTGATGAACGCTTTGCAGTCATTATTCACAGAAACTACTGTTAGGAAACCAAGACCTATACAGGGATGCCAACCCCCGAACTTTTCAAATCTTGAGAACGAAAATGATGACGTCATACYVGAAATGACGTTTCATAACATTATCGATGACGTCATCGCATTTATCAAATTTCGTTATAACTAGTGATTTGACTGGATGTATCTTAACCAATCATATTATAGATTGTATTGTGCAATTGAAAATGGCCGCGGATGGCGTGCAATGTTATTGTTATCAGAAGACTGGCATTTTTGTATTTTTTCAGAACTAAAATGATATGCAAGGTAATTTGAGTTTTAATAGATGAAAAGAGATATTTCAAAAAACTGATATATGAATCGTCATTATCCGGGAGATTTAGCGGTAAAATCTTGAGACCGGGAGAAACGGTCGAAAATCTTGAGACTCCCGGATTATCCGGGAGAGTTGGCATCCCTGCCTATAATTACATTCAGTCTTTGACCAATGGATGAGAAATAAATTGCAGATTTGGAAAAATATTATATTTCATAGACAGAAATGTTATTATCGAATAAAAAAAACTATAAACTGAGTTTAATGTTAGATAATCATCTGTGCTGATTAAAGGTAGCCATGGAAAATTTATTTGCAAAAAAAGGTAATTAATTACTTGTCAATGTAAGATGGGTTATGCACACATGCAGCCTTGAGAATCATCAATGGTCCATACAAGATAGATGTTGCAGCATTTGTAGCCCTGTGAAATATATTTWAAAAAAATGTTTGATTTAAATTTCATCAACATGAATGTAGGCTGGGGGTGATCAGGGTCTTCATTGTTTATCCAACAAAGCTGCACTTAAATGAATTTAAAATAAAATGTCATTTTGTGAACAACTTTTATATTAAAAAGACTTCTGGTAAGCTAARTTTTTGCTCCTTTGTTGCATCAAGCAGAGCAACCATTATAGAGAGTTAGAGAGTGTCATAGATTAAGTCATGTAGTAGGTCCTGAATTTTGATCAAAATGAAATTTGGTCACAGAAAACAGGATATGAAAGCAAATGCACAAAAAGAAAACGTACATGACTTGATGTCATCTTTCCCTATAATGACATCAGATTCAATGAATACATTAATTGGATAAAATTATTTGGCACTATTAACAATTTCATTGCTATGTAGAATAAAATCACACCTTTCAAAATTGGTTAGTCCATCACAGATAACTTTTCCAATGTTGTTGTACAGACCCTCAAGCTCTTCATACTTTGTAGCAGCTGCAGTGGAAAGAATTCACAGCATGATACATAGAGGATATTACATGGGCGCACAGAAATACTAATTTTATCTTAGAGTGTTCAATCAATATCTCACGAGTGAGATATCAATTGAACACAAGAAGATAAAATTAGCATTTCCAAGCGCCCATGTAATGTTCTATTTAATATATTACATATCGATTTATCGATCTTTATATAAAAATTGATCTAATTGGCCGAAAAAATGCAGTGTCACCATGCCAACAATGATATCTTCACATGACTGTGAAAGATATGATATCTTTTCATGGTTCAAAATATAGCATTTTCACAACTAGAGAAAATCTGGTATCTCATCAATATGTATATAATAAAATACAGGTACGTCATTGAATTCATGTCAATTAATATAATACAGAGAAGTCTTTCTAGAGTTTATTTGCAATACTTATCATCACAATCAAATCATGACAATTTAAATATATATTAACAAGTGAACAACTGCATGAAATAAAGATAAAAGCAAGAGCACTTACTTGGATCAAGAGGAAACAGTGTCATCAATCTTCCCAATAATGTGTGAATGGCTCTAATAACCTAAACATTTGTTATAAATTTGTAGTAAGATTATCTACACCATTGAACTAAAAAACAATGCGATCAATGCTCATACCTTAGTATTTTGACAAGTCATGCAAGTGGCTATTCCACGTTGCAGCGGCTTGAACAATGTTAATATTGTTTGCTGAGGCTAAAGAATATAAAAAGAATTCCTACACCATTAAAGTAATTCCTTCTTCAGAACAATGTGCAGTTAAATCTAATAAATCATGCTTTCCAAACTCTTTATWACAATAAAATAATCTTACCAGAACTGATAACAGGTATGTCAAGATTTCAATGGCAGTGCAAACATTGGCATAGTTTGCTGCTGGAGTTTGCTCCTAATAAGAGATGAGTTATGGTTGTGATCTTTGTGTGATTATTAATAAATTCAAATAATAAATTCATTATTAAGCTAGGTACATATTGYATGTAAACCTGATATAATCCTGATACGTACCACTGTAACTAGCAATTTGTCAAGCCAAGCAACACGGAGATCGGCACCTATTTATCAAAGTTGAATAGAAAATACCACTCAAATAAAAAAAGATAATGAAATTAAATCATTAAGTCACTACCTGGCCACAAATCTGGTTTTAGCGTAGTCTTTAAAAGTAGCACACATCTGCGTGAGAGACTCTCTCCTTGTGATCCCACAGCAGTTGATGGTTCATTAACCTACAAATTAAAATACATTCATGAAAATGGGATTGCTTGCCTACACCATAAATCAGCCCTAACTGGTTATATTTATTACCTGACATGCAATCCTTAAGAGGAAATTCACTAGGGCATCTGAGTGATGTTTTTCTAATGGTGATTTCAATTTGCTTTCTTGTATGGCAACAGCAACTCTTGAAGAAGCAGCAGTCTAAAAATGAAATAAAATACAGTTCTCCAAGAATCATGATATTTCAATTTAACTAGATATTCATTATATTCTGATAAGCACTGGATCTTTAAATGATTCTAACTGTACATCATAACTCAGTAATAAGTCATCTCTATTTACCTGTGACAGTGAGCGAGTTCGCTTTGTATCATGAGATGTTGCAGTAGATTCATCAGCAGGCCTCTTCAGAGATCCCTGTAACTAATTGCATCGTATCAATGAATTCAACGAATAAAATATGCAATCTAAAATACTCAGACTTACTGTTGTCTGCTGCTCACTCTGTAGAGCAATAAGAGGCAAAGAGTCAGTTTATTCCAAAATATTGGATGGTACGATTTTATGATATTTTATACCTCATTTGACTGTTCTTGTTCATCTTTGATTCTCTGCAACTCCCACTTTATTATTACCTCTGCTAAGTCCACAGCAAGTTTACGATGTTCAATGATTGCCTATATTGGTTATGAGTCAATTGTGACAATTATTATTAATTTTAGCAAAATTCACAATAATGATGGATATAACAAGTAGAGTATTATCACTACACTTACATTTGCTGTAAATCCAAGTTTCTGCATTGCACTAACCATATGTTGTATCAGGTAAACCCTCACTGGGTAATATACTCTGTAGTGTCGCACCAACAGTTGACTGTAAAAGGCAAATCAATGGCTGTCATGTAACAGAAGTTTGTACTCTTTAGTAAAATAGCAAGTAAATTGATTTGATTTGGATATCATCATGATGCTGCATATTTGTATCTCTTCCTTTTGTTACATTTAGCATTTGATAAGATGTTTACTTTGTTGAAAGCATTCTGAACTTCACTGAAACTTGCTTGACTGCAGTATAGCTACCAAGCACAACCTACCCAACATTATCTCAAACATTCATAAGCCTTTAAGTTAACTGATTTTCATAACTTACAGCATGTGTACAAGTTGTGCAACAGTATGCCCCTCCTCAACAATGATCTTCTTTGTCCAGTGTGTTAGCATTGTCTACAAATGTATAGACAGCATAGTTTACTAGAAAAACTAAATTACTTAATAATAATAATTAGATTAGCACTAGTGTCCATAGAAATGTTATTCTCAAGAGTAAGATACAACAGGGATGTCTTTTACAGTTAGAAGTTCAGTAAAAAAAATCCCACTARGAAAGTGATCTCGACAATAAATCAAACAGAACATTAACAACAAAAGAGTATCACAACAATATTATGGTTATACTATAAGTTAAGTCATTACTAACATTTCCATCTTCCATACGAGCAGGCATGGCTGGTGTAAGGATATCAAGGGCTTGCCTTACAACTCCACGAGCTTCCACAGCATGAGCTTTGAGGAGACTGTGAAATACCTGCAATTAAAGAAAGATATTGTTAAAAAATAATAATATATAGTAATATAGCATATATAAGTTTGTAGTGTATATAGCATAAAGTGTCAGTAAACAAGCGACATTGAAACATTAATTATTAATTTAACTTATTAATAAAAATAAGATCAAGGTAGCCTACTGCATCACTAACCTGAAGAACTATACGTTTGTGTATTGCAAATTTAGCAATGATGTGTGCTAATAAAAGGTGACCATGATATTTAGTTGATGGGTCCTGACAAATCAAAAATATGTTTGGTGTAAATTTTCAAAAGATATAAACAAAGAACAGTCAATACTAGGCTCCCACTTACAACACACTGCTTTGGCAGCAAACATGGCCAGGCAAATGTCATAAGACGACGCAACTTTGTTCCTTGTTTTCTAGAATTTGGAAATGTGAAATGTCAATACGATTGATATTCTTAGATCTTGGAATTTAAACTTACATGTAATTCAATTAAACAAACAAACTTACTTATTTGCTACATCATGAATGTACTGCGAAGCATGTTCCACCAGTAAAGCAGAGAACTGAAGCAACAAAATTCTGACAGCATCCTAAAATATAACAATATTTATGTGGTATCAGTTTGTRGCTACTAAAACTTGGAATTTAACAATGTAATAACATTTGATTATAAAGATACTTACTGATGTCCCAAAYGGATTGTCAGGATTGATAACTTTAGAGACAAACACACTAATTACATTCTCAGAACTGTCATGTTCTGGGTTGGGTGGACCACCGATCAAATTATCTCCTTCACCACGTTCCAGAGACACTTGAAACATGGGAATCAGTACATACTGCAGAGCCTGTGAAAGAGMCATRMATATGAGACACCAAAAARGGTCAAAAATGTTTATGCAATGTAGGACATACCTTTGCTTTAAGTTCTTGTGGAAAGTATTGATCTTCAAATAATTTAACAAACTGGAAGAAGACATGTCTTTTTTGTTCAATAGAATACCCCTAGAAGCACAAAGAAAAATATATTATGAAACAAGCCCTAAAGTTGATCCTAGTTCTTGTAAGWGAAGATCTGTAGTTGTTACCTTTGCAACTGTGTCATCAAGAAATTTTCGCAGAAAATGGAAGTCTGGAACATGACGCATTGTAAATACCCTTAACAGTTGGAACAGCAGTTCAACTTCCCCTGGTCGGTGTCTATGAAAATCATATTCTAATCAGTGATCAAGAAAAAACAACAATGGGAAACAGAGGACAGCATTATCTAGAATAATAGCACAAATATTATCAAAGGATTATAAGGAAGCTAAAAGATGACTTTCACTAAAGGATGTCAAAACATACATTWATAGTCTTTCTCAAGAATTCTCACACCTGAACAAAAATATTACACCTACATCAATATTAATATTATACTCTAACAAACGACCATTGTCCACAATATCAGTAAGTTTTCTAAAAGAGTATCCTTTTATTATGTCTAGCTTATCCATGTATCACAACTCAGACTTAAAATTTAATACTAATTAAAGGAATATGACTTGGACTATGGATGGACAAATTCATACTCATACAGTAGCTGCAGATTTTACACACAAAAAAATATTGCCAGATTATGAAAAAATCATTTACTTGATGTAATTGAGCAGACATTTGACCAATAGCTTTGGTTCTCTCCACCGATGGACTGGAGTGCCATCCTGTAGGTAAGAAATATATGTTATTTACCGGCTGGGAGGTCCATATAGGAAAACACTGCCCAAGGTCTTGACAGTACAGATCGAGCACAGCGAGTTCCGTTCATAAAAGACCGAGGGCAGTGTTTTTCTATACGGACCGACCTATAGCCGGTAAAATAACATTATTTTTTTTAATTTGTATTTTATGCAACTTTGCTTGCAGTATGCAACTTTGCTTGCAGCTTAGCTGCAGGATAACGTCAGACCTGGCAGATCGCGAAAAACTGGACTGCGCGCTAGCCAATCACAGCATGCGAATTACTAGGATACTGGACCGAATAATTAACAGATGAGATTCAATTTATGGGCCTGATCATTACTGACAAGTTTTGTAACATTCTTTTCTTTGAAACCAAATTATTAATCTTTTCTTGAGGTTTCTAAACGGAGTGACATAAAGCTAAAATGGTTATTGAGCTCCACCACTGAACAAATAATACTGCATATCATCTACATCATGATTGACCAATCAGTGAGCCCCTTTTGTATTTCATATGCCCACCCCTAAATATGTTATGGATTTACCTTGTTGAGTCGGTCTTGGAAACTCTTTGAAATCCATACTCTACGTAGGTGGCCAATCTATAAAATGACAAACCCAGATCATTTTAATCAACTAGTAAGTACAACAATACTCTGATATGTACTTACAATAACAGGATGCTCAGGAAGCCAGTTATCATTGAATTTTACCAATAGTCTAGTAAAGAAATGTGAATCAATCAAAATGATGAGATAGCTGAATGATGGCCATCAATTAATGAGTGACTAGATATTAAATGAAATGTGATTTYAGTTTGCTATTACCTTATGATCAAAATGCCTTGATACTGAAGCTCCATCTTTTTCTGGATTGCAGAAACTTGATCATCTGGTGGCTTTGGAAGAAGAAAATAACATAGAATATTTATCCATGTATCTAAGGTATTATACTATGTGACAGACAACCAAGGACTTCAAGTCGATGTTTTGTTACCTGGGGAATGTTAAATAAGCTGTTGACAAGCATAAGTGAGTATGATTCAAGTGTTGTCCTCAGTGTCTTCGCATCATCTTTCAATTTAAGGTAATGCTGGAAAAAAAGAAAGCGCATGATAATGAATAATAATTATACAGGAATAGTATTTGAAACAATGCTCACAAACAATTGCACAATCAGTGTCTGTGCTCTCTTCATGAAAAAAAGTAACTAATTATGTGCCCACAGGGACTCCAGTGGACTTTCGAAAACCCCTACGAGATATTTATGAATTTTTTCCCTAAGAGATCTTTTGAGCATCCCCGGTACTTTTATTCCCAGATTATGTGGTTGAATTGTAACTATTTCTAAAAATTCATACCATGCCAGTAATCAGTGTGTGGTTTTTATGAATTAAGTTATCATGTCTATCAGAAAATAAGCACCACCTTTTCCTCACAATGTTATACTCACCATGAGAAGTCTGTTCATCTGTGACTCAGCAATATGAAGAAGGAAATAGTCACATGTCTGTGATGGGTAGCGAATTAAAAATTTTAACAATGGTGCACGCAGAGGACTCCCAACCTGAACAATTTCAATCAATAAATAAAAGCATTATGACTATGTTATTAATAGTCTTACATCAAACATTCAAATCAGGAATGTATTGTGTCAATTTAATAAATAATATAAAATAATATTTTTTCATTTGATGAATGTTATCAAATTTAGTTCAATTGCTGTAGAAGTAAAATTGAAGTCTAGTGTGCAATGTACAATGAAGGATTAACGTCCGAAACGTCAGTAAGTTATTTCACATACTTTTTTTACGGTCGTGTTAAATTTATCTTTTTACACAACTGTTAATGTAGCTATTGGGTCAGAATTCAATGACTAAATGACTGGATTCAGTTTGTTGTTCTTGTTGCATAGATTTTCAGATCAGAGATAAATATTTATTAAGCTTTTGACTGCTCTATCATTACAATATGCCTAAAATAAAAAAATATGGACTTAAACATCCCTATTCCTTTTATACCTTATTCCTATGAGCAAATACAGATCATATGACAATAATACTGTATCGTGTAGTACATGACTTTGYATTAATATACCTACCTCTATCATAAGAACTTTCTCTATCTTAAGCACAAGCTGAATGAGGTGGTCAATGAGTTTGGATGAGGCAGCAGGAATCAAGTGGAACATATTGATAATAGCTTCACAGATCTTAAGATCCTTAATAAAAAAAGAACCTGGAATTGTGTTGTGTTCTGATACTGACATCCATGAGATTAGTTTAGAGCTACGAAAGGCTACTCACTTCTTCAGCTTTTCTGGGTATCTTTGCACCAGATGTTTGCTGTGCTTGTGTAGTTACTGTGATAATAACATCTGCCCATTTCTTTAGGTGAGCCTTGAATCAGGCAAAACAAGTGACATATAATTAAAAATAATAATTTATAACACTTTTTTTAAAATATTTATGTGTTCTAAATTTTAAAGTTATGACCAAGATAACATAAAATATATTGTATTTAAAGTGCACATGACACCATTAGAAATTCATTCTCATCCAAAAGAGAAAATGCTGCTAAGTTCATCTGTGAAGAAAGAAATTGATTTTAAATTGTATTTTCTAAGTTATGGCAATTGAAACTTGGAAAATGCAAATGAAGTGACGTCTACTAAGGAATGATTTAATATACAAAATCATGAAAGAGAACGTTATTCTTTTTGTTACATTGGAAAATGCATTTTCAGCTCTCAATTATTATTATGATTGATGATTTTTGCTCTTCAACCAAGAACAGCATAGCGCAAACAATGTAAAAAGWCTGGATCAATTCCTTAGTTGACGTCACTTCATTTGCATTTTCAATTTTCAAATGTCTATAACTCAGAAAATACAATTCAAAATCTATTTCTTTCTTCACAGAAGTACTTGGCAGCGTGTTACCTTTCGGATAAAAGTGTTTTTCTAAAAGGTGTCATGTGCACTTTAATGAACACTGCATATTTTGAAAAGAATAATACTAAGTGTGACTGTGGAATTGTAAATTAAATGCTATCATGATTATATAATAATCTGGGGTCAGTTGAATCAAAGGTGATTAGTGTTATCCAATAACATTTATACAAAATGGAAGGAGTAGTAGCTTTATCCACCCTTCACCAATCACTGATAAACACATATTTTTAAGTTAAGACAAGTAMATTTTTATATTATTTTTGTATTAGTTATTAATAAAAATATCCTTATAATGTGCTTCAGAAATAAAAAAAATGTATTCAGGAAATTCTTTTCATCTACTAGACAACATATCAATTGATCATGCATGAACAAATATCTCTTCTATAATTGTAATTAAAAGGTACATTTACCTTGAAAAAACATTCATTTGAAATATGTAACTCACCAACAACTGTTCACAGAGTTTCTCATTAAAAGAGCCAGGAAATAACTCCATCAAATGTGACAAACGCTGCATAGATAAAAACAAGATATTCCTGATGATCTCAAAACACTGTAAAAGTGCACAATCATGTAACTATGTCTTATGTGTTTGTGAAGTAGATTTTGTGTACCCATGAAAAACTATTGCACTTTTGTGGTATACTGTACCCGCAATCTCTTCTTGGTTCTCATGGCACCAACACAATTAATACTGAGAAGGTTTGCTGACTGTGTTTTGTGTTGTTCKTKCAATGAACCATTCTGTAGCTCAATATTAAGTCAAAATCTACTACCAACGTAAACTATACCTGCATTAAGGGTAGATTCAGGTTTCGATAATCACCAAGCATCAATAGCAAGGGACGGATACTCATGTGCACCAGTTCCATATCAATCTGTGGTCCTGACATAAACTAAAATCAAAAAGATCATCTACATCAAAACGCACTTCAACCTTAGAAAGCAATTTAGAATAATATATTTCTAAATCAATGAATTTTATTAGTTTTTATTCCAGTCATTGTGACCAATAAGGTATCACTTGTCCTTGTTCCAAACCTCAGAATGCAAAGGTATTAAAACTTTCTTGTACAAGACTTTTTCAAGTTTTCAATTCRCAAACTGGGCAATCATGTTGTGTCCTTAAACTCTCAGTGCCTCTTCGTCTTGGGAAAAAGATGTTAAGCAAGTGGGTCAAACTCTCTACACTACACTGTGTCATTTGAGCAGTCTAAGGAAGTATTATTATAGAGCTCACACTACTTTTCAACTCATCTCTGTCTTCAGGTAATAATTGGCTAATTATGTTGTGGGTGACAGMTGGAAGGCAAGAGCTTAGATAAACCAAACTAAGCTGTTAATGGTTTACCTTTTTTAGACATTCTTTGGCTGTTTCTTGGATGTCTTCCACTGGAGAATTTAGTGCCTTCAGAGGAAAAGTATTCAATTGATCATGCATTAAAAAAGAATGGTTACAATTATTTGAACAATGTAATGAGCAATTTATAATATACCTTATAAAGAACTGTGAATGTCTTTTCTCTTGCTTGAACAATGTAATTGCACACAGATAAGGCATCTAAAAAGGTGCAATATCATATTATTCAACATATGAATTCTCTTATTGCTGTGCTGTTCAGATGTTTCATTGAAAACCACATTCAATCATGTCATAAGCAAAAACTATAATTTATTATCATCTAGAGCATGCATGTAGATCAAGACAATACTTACGTAAAGCACTTTTCCTTAAAGGTGTTAAAGACTGAACAGACTTATAACATGGTAATTTAAGCAGATGAGCATCATCAGCGTCACAGAGAGACAACAACTAAAATAATTCAAGAAGTCTAGAATTAGATTTATAATGCCATTTAATTAAACAAAGCCTCCATTGTTACAAGTCAGACCTATTTCTATGCAATTTTGGTAGTAATAATTAGTAATAATTATTACTAGATAATTTACTAATAATTATTACTAGAACAAACCACTTTCAGTGACTAGGTAATTCAACAATGAAAAATTTCCCTTTTGCTTTACTCCTGAATGGCTGTATCTTATTCAAATCTCATGAAATAAATAAATAAATGTCATGAAATAGACATTAGTACAACTTAATTACTACAGTAACTTAATTAGCAAATCAATAATTAACTTAACCCTTGTAAGCATTATAAATGACTTTACTCAAAGCAAAAGGCAAACATCAAAGCTGCATATAGGGCTCAGAATCTTTTAAGACAAAAGCTAAATAATATGGATACCTATACAATTTCAATTATTAAATAATATTTAACTTTCTTTTGCAGCTCATTGAAACATGTAAATATGATACATATTCAAATTTATTGAATACCAAAGTGAATGCAGCTGAAGATATATGATAAAAAGATGAAAAATATAGTCTTTATTAATACCTCTGTAAAAAACACCTTATGTTCTACTATGGACAAATCCATGCTAAAGAGGCGTGGGTTTAGAGTTGTGCAAAAGGTGTTACCATCCTGAAACAAAGCATTAGAAATCCATGAAACAAAAACACAGAATGAAAGTGCAATTGATTGGATAATATACAAACAAACATATTGATAAAAACATATTAACAGTTAACTAACAATAGAAAATGGGTAAGATATATATAGATTACCATGAGAGCTATTTGAGTATTGACAGGTTGATGACGTAGCAGGTGTTTCTGGAAAGATGATTTTAAAACGTTTCAAGTGTAACAACTAGTTAATAAAGTGTACGTTATTGAGGAAGAATTAAACTTTAAAATAATACAACACCTTAGGAGGAATCATGTCTTCAAGAATCTAAAAAAGAGAAAAAGCAAACTTATAAAGAAAGTCTGGTTAATTTTTTAAGTTATATATTATTCACTCACCCCTTTGTGCGGTGCCATTATATCATAAACTGTCTTGCCTGAAATCTCAGCAAGGACATTGATCGATAACTGAGCCTTAAAAATAATATAAAATAAATTTCAACTATATATGCAACTTCAAAATACAATTGACGTTTGATTGAAATAAGTTTATTTCCAAATTACCTGTTTTCTGACAGTTTCATTGGGTGAAACTATTTCCCGGATCAAATGCTGAGAAAGTGTTGGGAAAATTTTCAGCTGCACTGCTTTAATTTCTTCATTTTCTGATTCCTGTACTGGCGTATTACATTGTCTAATAAGATTCATCAACAGTTCCTTGGCACTGTCCAGTGTTCCAGCAGACACCTATCATACAATGAGACATGAAACAAGGAGTCGATTCAACGCCCTGAGGTGTTTATTCATTTCTGGGCACACTTTTCATACTGTCCTATTGGTTAGGTATACGGCACCTAAAGTAACATACCATATAAAATCATATCATGCTAAAATGATGTCAGAAATAAAGTTTTTTATATCTTGTACATATAAAGTAAAACAAAAATCAAATCATGTACATAACTAGTATAGTATCGAAATGATGGTATGTATACCTCATTAGTCAAATCCATCATTACAAAGAATAGAGCATTGATGAATGAGAGTTGGTGCTCAATCAGCCATCTCAAGGGCATCCTTTTCATGAGAAAGCAGATAGCAGTGCACCTGGAACAAATAAAACAAACTGATTAATTCAATGTCATGATCAAACTAAAGCAAATATAGAATATTTGATCAAATAAAAACTATAATTTACCCTCCACTTTTGGTAAACCAGGCTCTTTCATAGCAGCACCCAATCAACTTTTCAGACAGGTATTCAAAAAGTGGTAGTTGTGCTGCCTTTAASAAAAAAATGATACAGGCCTTTTTTACTTACTGTGAATCTTAACATATGATTAGCTTACCAAATGTTTTGATAGACTAAAATATCAGTATCTTTTGACAAGATTTTACTAAATGATGAAAACAATAACAAAAACATGACAATAACCAATCCCTGCTTTTATACCTTGTAAGCATTATCCATTACAGCAGTAGCAGTTTCAATCATTATAGCAACAGCTAACTCTCCCACTTTACAGAATTCCTTATCTTCCATTCCCATGACTGCAGTTATTGCGTCAACAATGATATGTATATCCATTCCTCTGTGGGATCTACAGTTTCAAAAATTCACATTTGTCACAATATTACTATTAACAGTAACAATTTCAATTCCAGACTTGCCTGTTTTGGGGCTTTACAGGACATGGACCAGCTTGCTGTACAATTCCTACTAGTGTGAAGTGACGAACAAGACTGCACATGAATGGGACTGCTTCTGACCTTAATTCCTTAATTGAAGCTGACACTATTGATATCACAAAACATTTTAAATCAAACATATAGTGCATACCAATGACTGCAGGGTAATTGCACCTGAAATGACTTACAAAGTACTCCTGTTAATGCTTGCTCTATAATGTTTTTAGAAGGCAGATCACCACAGGGTACAGTAGCTGTCTTATTAACCACAGGAGGCTGTCCTTCCTTAAAACTATACAAAATGACGTGAGGTATTGATTTTAGAATGATAATGATATTAAGTAAATTTTATAATATTCAATTACCTTTTATGTCCAAGGACTTGGGTAAGAATTGCATCATTGTCTTCAAGTGATATCATTGCTGCCAGATATGACTATTAACACATTGGATATTTCACAATTAGACCAAGAGGTCATGAGGACTACGAGTTGATAGTCCACGTAGCTTAACTTGACCTAATGGACTATCAAGTTGCAGTTCACAAGACCAAGTGGTCTAAAAGCTATAGCCGAAGGATAGTTTGAAGGAAAGACCACAAAGAACAATTTTTCTCAACATTTTTTGACTACTTTTGCTTCATAGATGTGATGATGGCCTATCACAAATAGACCATTCAGTGTAGCCAATTAGAATTGGATTTTGATAGCACATATAGTTTAATGCATACTAATGATAATTATCCTAGTACAACAACTACAAATGAACACAGGTCTGGGTGATAATGTTGTCAATAATAATCTAGAAGTGCCACACTCTTTAGAATCTCAACTAAATTCCTGATAACTGCCCATGTATTAAATAAAGATTCTAAAAAACCTAACCTTGACTACTATCCAAGCCTGTTTTCTATAGAATATAGTGTGATCAAGATTGATAGATGATTGTTGTGGAAGAACAGTCACATTAGGTGGTAGTGTCTTGAGAAAGGTCAATGCTCTTTCTATCACCTAGAGAACACAAGAAAGAAATCATGAGAAAACCAGTAATAAGAAACAATTAACAAATGTATTTGCTGAAAAGAAGAACTACTCACTGGACCAACAGAAATGGTAACAGGATTAACACTTTCTGGATAGTAAATTGCCAAACATGATCCCAATGTATCAGCATCATTAAACGTGAGCTACAAAATAAATAAATAGCTGACTGGTTATTTATAACCTAAATCATAACTTACATGTAGTAAAGGGTGGGTATGTATTTTTAGCCCAAAGCTAAGCATATATTATTAAGATTGACGTTGACAAAAACCTTGCTGAATTAGCAATTTGTTGTCACTGAAGGGCTATCAAACATTCAATCACTTCATCTACTTTAGCAACAATATTTAGACATTGTACTGGATGAGTAGTAGATCATTCAACTCCAATAAATAAATACTTCAAAACGTTATCAACCTTTTGTGGCTCCTTAAGCATTCTTCTGTTCCCACCACCAAACTTGCCAAGCACTCTGAAGGCTACATGAGCAATGTTGTCATTTGAATTTCTAAGAGTCTTCCACAAAGCCTACAAGCAGAGATTGCTTTATTAGGTTTCTAGTACTAACTCCAGGCCAGACTACTACTCAAGGTCATAAAATTAGGAGATAAATGTTGCCGAGTTTGTCTCTCCACTAGCAAATTGGTAATATTTCAAGTTGGTAAATAAATTGACACAGTGGCTCACAATACCTGGAATAGCTCTGCTCTGACTGGTTGTATGTGATCATAGAGAAAATCAGGCTGCAAGTTGTCTACACATAATTCCAAAGTTCTTAAACCTTGACTGACTAGAGTCTGTGACCCATTCAAAGCCGAGACTAGAGGATCCATTAACATTGGCAGATATGGTAGTAGTGAGCTGAAACAATAATCAACATTATTTGACTTATAAGAACATATCTTATTAGCTTTCTTAACCACAAAGAAAGTAGAGTTTTAACACAGGATGTTATATATATGACATCACTATTTGCTTACTGGAAAAAAAAGATGTAAATGGAATCAATATTAGTATGTTGATATTTACAGGTCTTCTAAAGTATTATTCTATAAGCAGTTGAAGATAATTACAATTTATAGCAAAGCATACCTGAGTCTAACAGGAACAGTTAAACATAGTTCAACAAATAGGTCCTTCATATATTGCCTGTGAACTCCACTCTGAAGGTTATTGAGACCTGGAAAAAATAGCCAGAGCAAGGCAAAAAACAGCAGATGAGTAGGGAGACAAATCCCCACTGAAACACAGTGTGGTACAATCTTTTAGCAAAAATATATTATGTTCCCACAACAATTTGGACAAATTAAAATCTAATTTAGATATTGTCTGACATCTCACTCAAAGTTTTCCCTTGTTACTGCAGAACAGTTAACATATACTGTCAAAAATAAATGATTGTATGCCTTAAGCATGGATACAATAGTAGAACAAATGCATGACATGGCTTGACCATGCATGTATGACTGTACTAGTCAGATTACCTTGAAGCAGGTTTGGTAGTAATGGTAGAAATTCCTGGTAAAGTAAGTCATGGCTTCCTAAAATTAAAAACGCAAATCTTGCATWCAAATCAAAGCACATGACCTACTTTCCAATAAATTGCACAATAAAGCCATCCTTTAGTTTTTAAATCCAAATTCTTGATTCTCATTTTGAACATTTATAAGCGCTTTTTTTATTTTTCCTCAGCACTGACCTCTGTGTGTGGTCTGTTTTTATAAGTAATAGCATGGCTGTGAGGGAGATTAGGGATTAAATGTCCCTGAAACCGAGGGCAGATAAGTTGAAGTCGATTATATAGTAATTGTCCCTCATGCTATTCATGAGGGATGGATGTTCGCTTGTAAACATCTCTAGGAAGAGAAAAGAATCCGAGGTGATAATGGTATTATTAAAATATGGTAATATATATTGGTATTTTCTTAGATAAACATTGGACCTCAGTTAATTAACAAGGCATAAAGACTTATACTTTACATATTAGTTAGTAAACTTTTGTACTAATTTACCTCCTCCAATAGACCTGAATAAAGCCCTCAAGAGAAGGAAGTAATTGTATGGTTCCTTGGAGGTACAAGATAACTCCATTGATCTATTAACAATCTCATGAAGATGTGGCTGTAAATATAATTATAGCAGGTATATTAAGCAAATGATTCTTAAATTTATATCAATAAAGGAAAGATGTATTAAAGTTGAACCACCAATTTCAATATATGGTGAAACAATTTTTTTCTATACTGTCTACAGATTATTTGAATTGAAAAACTGGAAAGATCTTTGAAGTACAGGTAGATAAGATTGATGTTTATATTCATGCCACAAAGCTTACCTTGAGCATTTGTTCATTTTCAGAAGCAAACAAGGAGACAGATCCAAACACCAGTTTAAAGAGTTTCAAATACAAGTTGGAACAGTCAACATTTGCTAAACATTAATACAATTAATAATGAAAATTAAATCATAAGATTGGAATTCTACCATTTGAAGTTCTCGATGTACTTTAGCATGGAAGAGAGATGCCATTGTAGCAAGTTCAAACACTTTCTTGCTTCAATCAAGGCTACTTTTCAAGATGACACAAACTTAATATAATGTTATAAAATTTTTGATATATAATGCACGCTCTGATTGGCTGCCGACCGTGTTTATATCAGAGGACAGAGACTTACTGGAAAAAATTCTTTTTCGCTCGAAAAACACAGAAAAATTTTATAAAAGAACTATAAAACGGCCACTTGTGTCTCTGTCTCTGTATTTCTTAATTATAAAATAATGACCACAACAGCATAACTAGCTAGAAATGTTATATAACAYGTATGTGAAAAAGATTATGTAGGGATAGAGCCCAGGAAAAACATTCATTCCCTTCCTTCAAATACAGCCAGTTGCATGTACACAGGCTAGCCATATATAGTATTTGCAAGACTCTGGCAAGACATTGCTTTTTGTGCCTACTACGAAGTAGTAGACACTTTGTCATCGTGTCAAATGCAAATGAGTAAGTGAAAATAATAGAATGCTGACGTCAAAATGGAATCAATGTACCCCTTCGGAAGACCCATAAACATAGGAAGCCCTCTGAAACGATCGACAAAACAAAAAACTTAGTACAAACGACCGCCAAAAATTCAATCATCTCTGCGGATCAGTACGAACAAGTTTGTGAATATTTCTCGTGATAATTCACTGCCGTGATAGTTTGCGAGGTATGTTTGCTTTCGTGAGTATATTTTGCCTTAGTTAGTTCTTCTTTATCAAAGCTTTCATATCACAATATTTGGTGTAATGAAAACTTCTATAGTATAATTCTAAAAGTTTTAGGTCTTTCTTTCAGAAGAAATTGCTCTAAACAGCCAGATAAAGCTCAACCTAATACTGATTCCCAACAACTTGACTCCACGCATGAACAAACACACAACACAAACAAAACTCTAATGAATGCATTCTATTAAAGAAACAATGCCTAGTTAGAACTTCCATTGTTCAAAATGGTGACTTATATTAAACTATTATTTACATTTTATTTCATGGAGATATTGTTYGCACTTTATTGCTTTGTATCCAATAAAAAGTGCCTTGTATTGTTATTAATAAAAATACATATCGATATTCTGCACTTTCTATTTTTTGTGYGTGTTATCTCGGCACATCAACAGTGGCAAAATAAACGCTGATTGAGTCTAAATATTTGTGTTCCATAGATTTACTAAAAGCATCTGCATACAATCGCAGTAGGCACATGCGCTCATTCAGCGCCTTTCATTGTAATTGCTTTAAKTATGCATTGAACTTACTTCCCATTTCATCAAGCCTTTCTAACAAAAACTTCACCAGAATTGTTGCAAATGTTGCAGAAGTGTTAGGATTTGCCAGAAAAGAATTAGGAATAATCTGAAAAAGTAAATAACCACAAAAATTTGTTGCAATCATACAATACATTTAACAGCAACACAATTATATTTTATTTCCACACATAAATAAAGATTAAGGAAAAAATTACAAGAGAATAATTTAGAAGATATGGAGGATGCGTGAGAACAACCTGAAGGTTGAACAAGCTCATACTATCCATTTACTATGTAAATTGATAAAAACTAAATAATATAAGCATGGATGGTAGGCACAATAATGTCAGTAATATATAGGTATACTACTTGCATTTTTGTGAGCTGTTTATACAATATTACATAGTTATAACTAGGATTTTATAGATTTATGAATAAATATGGTTGGTTTGAAGTACAGAGATCAYTTACTGGTTTTACATTTTGATTATATGCTAAACATTCACAGCTTTTTCAGACCTGGTTATTCAATGTTTGTAGTGTATCTAGTAATAAATACCTGCAAGGCATAGTTTGTGTGTATCCTCTCAACTAAATACTGAAAAAAATATTTAAACAAAATTCAGTTTAATTCATTGATTTGAAATTTAATGAGCTAATGAGAGCAATACATTCCCCTCTTATGAGCACCACTTACTGGTCTGGGCAAAGTTAAATAATATCGATGTACATAATGTAATGATATTGCATTAGTAGTCTAGGATTTCAAAACCTGTTATTATTGACAGTACCTAATGACCCCATTTGTCAATAATTCATGAATCATAGTAGTCACAATGTGGTCAACCATTAGAAAAGTGATGAGTGGATGTGAATTTCAGCCAGATTGTGATGGATGATTTTTTATGAATATCAAAAAGGAATATCAACCCCCCATGTTTTCTTAAAGGAAAAATTAAGAGATAATCCTTAACAGAAAAGTATGTGACCAACTGTTGATAGAGAAAGTTCAAAAAAACTATAAGGTAAAAATTATTGTACATGTTGCAGAATGAGGAGAGCTATTTTGGAATTGACAGGGCTACTCAGCTTTTTCTGACTGTACTAAATAACTAATCACATAGCTGCTTATTCTTCTTGTCAGTATGTTTTTGATTTTTGTCAATCGTTCTTTTTACCTTTGCTCTTTTTCTCTTTTTTCAGAACATTTTCTCGCATAAATCTGATTAAGATTTTCTTTTTTTCTTCATTGTCTTCTTATTATCTTTTACATYTTGTAATCTAAATTAGTATCTATAGCAGGCATCGCCCTAATAGTCTTAACTAATTGTGATGCCCGTTAACTACTCATGTGTAATTTATTATTATTTATTGAATTCAACTTATAAAGTACCAGTGAGGGTAAAAATGTTTTTCCAAAAATGGTTGAAGCAAATCAGTTCTACTTTTTGTACAACAAAAAATATAATTGTCATATGTCAAAATGTTTGTACAAAAACAAAAACAACAAATACTATTAATAGTGTATCACATGCTTTGATTAACAGAAATAGACTGTTATGTACTGAAATATAACAAGGGGCCATTTTGCATAAGCATGCGCGAGAAACTGTACTGTTAAAAAAATGTTAATTGTCACAAAGTACATTAGCAACCAATTTACATTGCTATAAGAACAGACACCAAAAAAGCGTCTTGTTTCCAAAGATAAACCAACGACAAAGGTATGGTTTGACCACATTTCAGTCACCATCTCCATGTCATTCACCTTGTATGACTTTTAATCATATTTTAAGCAGATATACCAGGTACTCCAGAATTTTGAATAGCACTTTCAACACATATTCGATACTAGACTGGATTTTTGAACCTAATCAATTACTTGTTAAAGAAGAAAGAGCGTATTTACTTTAGTCTAAAACCCTCTCAAAAAATTACCACATACCATTTGGAATAGTATCATTCAGTATATACCAGACTAACCTCTATACTTGATGAGAAAACTTCCTTAAAAACTGAAGTGTTCATCATAGTGAACTACAAAAGAAAACATCAAGCTGGAAGGTCAGCAACAAAAGTACACATGCACTACACCAAGAATGCTTAAATATATTTAGCCCAAGAATCAAATAATTCATCTATGACAGTAAGTGGGCATATGATAACGTAGTTTGTTTACATCGAAAAATACTAAATTAAAGAAATAAACAATTTGAATTCAATAATCATGATATAACTCAAGATTATACAACTCTCCACAAAATCTGAAAAGTTTAGGGCAAAACAACAAAATCTACAGAAAACACTCACTTGTTGGCAAGAGTATTCCCAACACGGTCATTTCTTTAGAAAATGTTACAAATTTGGCTCTCAATTTCTCTTACATGCAATTTTCAGAAATTACTATAGTAAACAGGTATGAAATCTTTTMATTTTTGGAGCTCCTTTTCCCGTCAACCAGACACTGCTGGTCTCAGACTCCAAATCAATACTTGTGAGACTTGTAACGTAAATACTACGTATTTAAATTGCACACACAAAATTGTTGGAAGTTAGCATAGAATGATCTTTTAAAACCCAAAAAATAATACAGCAACTATCAGAAGGCGAAAATATCATCATTTTTGTATTATATAAATACTCTTTTTTGTTCATTGACAATATACTTACCACACCAGCAAAATGTTCCAAAATTTCTTTTTCCTCTTTCATTCTTACTTGCTGAGAGCTATAAAAAACAATTTCATAAATTTTAAAGGATATAACTATTTGAATGACATTTTTTGCCTGAACTACTCTTCTTTTCTTTTACAAAAAATGAGAAATGAGAAAGAAAAATTTTATTGTGATTTTCAGCTAATGGCCATGGGGTATTGACAAAACATATGCTGGGTATGGTGTAATACAAGTAACTCAACACATCAAAATAATTTTTAATATGTTTGATTAGACCATATAAAATACACTCTATTACCTTGGTGGTCTTAAGAAGTATTGACCATTTGGTGTAACTGATACTTGATAGATATCTAAAGCTTGTAATGCTATAATACAACACATGCACAATAATTTATTAATGCATAATTAGCTTTAACATGCACTGCTCTTACCATATTTCAGAAGTCTTGTGAAAAGCTGTGTTTCCCAAGGCAAAAATGTCTTGTTACCTAGTAACATTTATAATGAAATAGTATTAAGTACAGTATAGTAAACTATATTTAAGACATAAAACAGACATACCTCCAGGGACCTTACAAGAACCTGCTCCCCAAGTGATAGTCTTAACACCACATACTAATGTCTTAACCATACTTCGACAGTCAGGAACAGAAAAAATGTTGAATGGAGCTACTAACAAAACACATCAATTGGAATTAGATTATGCATAAACCCAGGCACATCATCAGTTCCAAACATTTCATAAATCTAATCTGCAAGGAATGTGATTTCCAGTATTTATAGTGATGTCAGGTAAAAAGATTATGGTAGCATTTTAGAAATTTAGATAGAAATTTAGACATACATTTATAGAAGAAAATTGATAAAATCTTACACTATTTCCCCTGGTAGATACAATGTTGAATAACACCTTTCAAATACCATTTAAAAATTGAAAACAAACTTACCTGATGGACTCGAAGAGYTTGGTTTCTGCAATTATGATAAACCAATTAAAAAAATCAAAACATCCCATGCCTTTGATGGGATGAAAATAACCAAGCAGGATTTAACTAATTAAATGCTGTGTGTGGGAAATAAATTCAAAATATCTTTTGATTACAGAATGTTTCTTGACCAATGACCATGTGTCATGCATAAACAGCTCATGCTCCACAAGCACTGTTTAACTTTTGTGACCAAATATACTAAAGAGAGTACCTTATTTATTATCTCTTGATCTGTTTGTGGTGCTTCAGAAGTACTAGCAGTACTAGATGAACTCAGTAAACTTCCTGTTGTAGCAGTGCTTACAGTGGTGCTTGTACTAGATGCCGTTGAAGCTGTTGTGGTTGTAGCAGTAGTTGTTGTAGTGTTAGCTGTTCCTATATTTTGTGATGGAGAGGATGATGATGATGCTGTTGAGCTTTCTGAAGCTTGCTGACTGTGAAACCAACAGATAACTTGTCAGTATTATTGTTTTTAAAATTACAATCATCTGACTGTTTGATAGCAACTAAGGGGTAAACAACCATGATGAAAAAAATGAGTGAGACTGTAGACTTTTGACTTATTAGAACGATTGCACAAAACCGGATAAAAAATGAGGATCAATTTATRCTAATACACATTACACGATTTTACATGTGGAACAACGAGGATATTGATGAATGCTTTACTTATTTGACGTACAAATATGTTTTAAATAACAATTAAATCATAACAAATATTAAATTCATGATCGTGTTTGGTCAAAAGTCAAGTCAAGGAGTAATTTTGCTTTTACAGTCAAAAGACATGAAGCGCGCCCCCTCAAAACACCATTATAATATATTATTCAATTCATTATTTGATTCTTAGTCGATTCAACATTACACTATTGAAATCAAACTTAAATTCAAACATCGATATTTGATTGAATTATTGATTGGATTTTCATAAAGCCTTCTTCGTATTTCACTCGTAAACATGCTGGTCTTTTGTAATTTCTATGCATTGCAATATGTCTATGCATTGCAATATGATGTCTGTTAATTTGGTTGGATCTGTTCCTTCTTGTGAGAAAGGAATGACGCCCTCAAAAAGTTGGAAATCCTGTGTTCTTTTCTGTCATTATCAGAGTTCGAGATTTGAATTTAATTTTGCATTAATCAACTGAAGATTGAAAACGAAAAATAAAATGAAAAATCCAATAATGCATTGAATAACAAACTATTCRGGGCACACTTCATGTCTTTTGACAGATGTAACATCTCTAAAACGACAACATAAGCAGCCAAACATTCCAACGTGCAAACTAAGCAAAAACACTTCGTAACACAGGGAAAAAACAAAACATTTTTGTGTTTAGTTTTTGCAAATATGGACAACAACTTGAAACAAGCTATGAAACAGCTATGAAACAAGCAGGAGCGCAAGTTTGTCTTAGAATGCTACGGAAAAAGTGCATGGGAATGACTGGGATAGCGTTGCTGCACTGTGCAAGGCATCGATAGTCAACACTGGTCTCCCTGATCGAGTTGTTCAGCAGTTAATCACGAGACTGAAAGAAATAATCAAAAAGACCATATCTGATCCAGTACACACCACACAGCACAGTCCAACTCAGTTGTGACAGAACGACCAGAACCAGAAGATACAGTAAATCAACACAAGAGTTAGAAATGAAATATGCAGGCGAGAAGATGCCTAAAGAGAGGAGAAAGGATGCCGCAAAGAAAAAGCTTTAGTGTGATTTTGTTAAGTTCTCTACCAACTCTGACAAATCTGAAAAAGAACCAAACAAGAAAATGAAAGCCTCAGATGCTCACGAAGCGTACAAACGAATGTGTGAAAAAGCCGATATCTTGGACGTTTTCATGCACTGCAATGTTGGCTAAAACTATACTTACTAGTGTTTAAAAAATWAATGAACAAATATGCGATAAAAGTTTGTATTTTTAACAGCAAAATTACTCCTTGACTTGACGTCTGACCAAACAATTGTTTTAATTGTTATTTAAAACATTTAAAACATATTCTGTACTTCAAATAARTAGCATTTTTTATTCAGTTAAGAGCATTCTGAGGGATTTTGAGCGGGTTAGTGCAGCAGCTTACTTTTTCACATTTTCTAATGAGCAAATAAAAAAGAAAAGGAAGGACAAAATAGTCCCCCAGCTCCACAGTCCCAAATCACTTCGAAGTAATTAAACTTTTAAATGTCAAGTGCTTTAGCTCTATCTAAAAAACAAACAATATAATGGGGCAGAAAATTAATTAAGTTTTTACTTTAATTTTGATGCTAATTAATTGACTAATGAAGTGTTTTTATCCTGCAAATCTGAATTAACCCTTACCACTTATCAAATATAGCTGGTATGTGATGTTTGGCAATAGACTGGAATTTTCTGACAAAGACTTCTAGCATCCTCATCAAAATTTCTCTTCCCTGGAATCCAAAACATTATTAGTATTAAGTAAACCTCTGTGAGACTATTTAAATAATCAACATCAGCCTGGAAGGTTAGAACTAGACTCTTTGTGTTGTTAATACAATCATCATTTGTGCTCTTTATAATATCATGTATAATTTATCATCTCTGTTGACTTCAAGCATAAACATGCTTTAACTTTAACTTTCAGACAAAAGGATGATAGATATCTACATCTACTTTGCTATATGCCTTAGTTGGTACTTCCACTTCTTCAAATTTAACAATGTACACTTACTGATCCTTGTTCATCACTTTTCTGTCTGATGCACTCCACCAAATTCAAAAGGAGCTGATAGAAAACATTTTATTATTTAGTATAAGAAATATTTTTAAATATTAAAATACCAGTACCTGTAATTATCTAAATAATTAATGGAATTCATCAATCATTATAATATCTTGTTGATTTAGCTTAATCAAGCATTTGAAAGTTTGTAAATGGAATGTAAATGAAATGAGGTACTCAAGCTTGTTCATATCAGATTTGAGATTTTCATTCTGTACAATTAAAGTTTTAAAGACTTTGCAGACCAGCAAACAGTAAAACAACTAGTCTATGTGGCCAGGATGGCACTAACATGTACATGTAGTAGACAAAAGAGCATTTACAAGAGGTAAGGAGTAAYTACCTTACAAGACATGGTCTGAATGCTGACAGGCAAAGAGTCATCATGAACATTCTTGGAAAACATATTAACAGCTAATGACAGGTGAGGAAGAGGAAGATGGGAGCGTACATGGTGTACAAGGTCTGCAAGGGTGCTATAAGCCAGAGGACGAAGAGATTCTCTTGTGGTCCAACCAGTACCAATCAAGACTTCCTCATCAAATAACTGGTCAATATGAGGGACRAATCCTGATAAAAATTGATAAATCATTAYAATGGTRCTTTTCYTGAAYAAAAAATGATCCAAACATTCATTTTGTAATTACTGTTTCTCAAGTCTGTTGCCAAAATATGTCTTGCAGCAATAAGCAACTCTTTCCTTAAATGAGCAACTTCCTGGTGAAAAGATGATATAATAGACATTACACAAMGATTTTAAGTAAAAATAAATGTATTATAGCAAATGGTTTGATTATACCTGTGGACAATATCGCAATAATCCTAGCAGACCTCCAACCATGTTTTGTGAATATGTGTTTACCATCTCCTATAAAAAAACACTGATGGTTAAGATTGATGGTTAAAATTGATCTTGATTTATAAATAAACATATTATTTGTTACATGCATTAAGAAATCCATTTTGGTTTTTCACTGGAATGGTGCTGTCCAAGACATCCAAGATATAAAATACAAACAGTGTTCAATGTTCAAAGCATACAGTATACAATGTGTTTTAAAAATTGAATGGAATTGAACATAAACACACAGTCTGAGAGACTTTCCACAAAATGAGGGTRTATGGAAAAGATCAGGTGAGTTTATAGTAATGTAAATTTGCCGTATGCAAATTAATGCCTAAGATTATTCGTATAACCAAGCGAAATCATCTYGTGGTGTAACGGTTAGGTTTAGGGTTAATGATCGGATAGGACTTATTTAGGGTTCGCAGGTTCGGCTCTTATTGGCGGGATAAATTTTTTTACTAAGTCAGGCTGATAACCAAAATCCTCAAACATTTCTAAGTCCCACTTGTGTGTTCAGAAGCCTATGACGTACTTGGTTAACCACTACACCACAATAGTACCAAAATGAGACAGCCATGTTAAATTTGATACATCAACAGACCTGATAAATCCTAATGATATATGCCAAGAAGGATAAGGTTTTAATTTGTGCAGCTACAAAGTCTACATAGACTTCTTTGTTAAAACTTGGAGATTTTCTGTGAAAATAGAGATAAAGTAATAAGTTAGACAAATGTTTTCCCTGCAGTTATGACAAGAATCATTTGATCCTCCATTACCTTGCATTCAATGAAGGCTGTAAGACTATAGTACTCATTACAAGTGGAATAAAATCAGCTACAACATTGTATACATTCTGCTTGTAAAGCTGAAACAATCAGAAAACATTATAAAGACAAAGGATGAGTTAATACATTTTACAGAGTAAACAGTGTAGACGTTATACAATCATATTATTTAGAATTACCTGATACATGAGAACAACAATTATTGGGAGCTCTGCCAAGACTTTAAGAGAGTTGATGGCCTTAGGAATAGTTGTCTGATAAAAATTAATTACAAAATGTTTATAATGTAACTTAATATACTAGTGTTTTTAATTTTTTTAAATTGTTTAAAACTACATTTAATACAGCCATTGTTATTAAATGTCTCTTCTGTGACAGGATTACCGGGGTTCCGTCTATAAAATGATTGGCAAACTGATTTTAGTGCTGTCAATCAATTCTGATTAATTTCATATTCTAATTTTTTAAGAATTTTTTAAMATTTTTAGCAGCCAAGCCTTTTGAAATCAAGTATTATTTGTGAAAAACCATTACATCATACAAACATTCACACCTTAAAATCTGAGAGAATTGAARAAAAAGATATACAGCTGCATTAGACTAGACACCAAAATCCAAAAAAATATATGGTGAGATTGTCACCTCTCGTAATGCAYATTTTCATACACATTCAATGGCATAATGATGCAAGAATATTAGGTAACAGACTTTACCTGCTGAGCAGATTTCCCCCCCGCTCCATCACCAGTACTCATTGGAGAAGCAGCTGGGGTACCAACAGGAGTAGTACCCTGAGATGATGCATTTGATAGTGCACTGCCTTGATTTTCACTGGGAAGATATCCTGTTGCTGATATGGACACCACCTCAAATATTTGTTTCTAAGAAATGTGCATTGTAGGTTCAAGCAATTTTCAATAACAATATGAACTGTTATCATGGTCGAATCCTCATGTGGAGATGGCAGTTTTCATGGACGTCAATCAAACAAGAGTGGTTTTCAAATTAAGCAACAAAAGTATTGCTCAATCCTAAAATCCTGCAACTTTATAAAAGACAAATGACAACTGAAGAAAAAGAGACAGGTAATTATTCCTAATTTTTGCATTGAAAATATGGATGTATTAAACAGATGAAAATGTTTTGCAGAATTTAATTGAGCTTAGTGTTAAGTCGATCTCAAGACAATCAATGAAAAGTTTTTAGTAATTATAGTTATATCCAACATATTTTCAGCAACGTTTGAATTGATCACAGATTCATTTCATTTTCATCATCATAACTCTTCACTTCTCTTTTCCAGGTCTTTGAAAAAAAAACACATGCATTTGTCTGCTAATAAGCAAAATGACAGAAAACGAAATAACAGATAGTAATCTGTTCATAGCTGCTTTGTTTCCGTGTTTGTTTACTTTTTGTAGTGCTTTAGGCTTGTTGCAAATTTTCTGTTGATTGACATCTATGGAAACCCCCAACTCAACATTATAGTGTTGGAAYCTGCATGTTTGTGAAATATATAGAGTGATTTTCATTAACCAGTGAAACACACTTTAGAGTATTCATTGCTATTACACTTTTGGCTCTTTTGTTTTTTATTGTCTCTACGTGACTATTACGATCTATTACACTCTAATTATTACACTTTGTTTCACAGGTTTATGAAAACCACTCTAATGCTTTCAAGTAAGACTAACCACATTGACTGGAAGTTCTTTGTAGATAGTTTTGACATACTGCAGGAAATGTTGGATCTAATAACACAATATCAGTCAGTGAAAGCTTTCAAAACATATTTCATAATAAATTCAAGCAAATATGTCAAGTTGATTGCAGTTAAAGAACATAAGCAAAGCTGACAGTATACATTATATACTTTATTTGATGGTAAGAGCAATATGCAGGATCTTATTCACAAACTAGACCCTAGCAGGGTGTACTCGTGCCCTAAAGGGCTGAAGGTGTTGAAAAGTGCTTTGCTCTAGAGCACAAATCTTTGAGTCCGTGCTTCTAATATCAAAGCCTATTTACTTAATACCTATCTGACAGGTAAAAGATTGTAAAATACCTATTGCAATAGGCATAATGAAAAGTTCGCTCTAGAGAACAAATCTTTGAGTCCGTGCATCTAATATCAAAGCCTATTTCATTATACTTATCTGATAGGTAAAAGATTCTCAAATACCTATTGCAATAGGCATAATAGGTTTGCTCTAGAGCACAAATTTGTGAGTACTTAGTCGCTATCTTTGATGACATTGAAGTTGTTTACAACAGTTACAGTAAAACAGTCCTGTTTTCAGCAGTGGGGGTCCTCCCCCAGTAAATTTTGAAATAATAGAGAGTTTAAGCATCACGTTAAAGGCAAACGGCTAACGGCAGAGCTGAACCAATGACCTAAGAATTTCTTGCCTGACCTTGTGTTTTTGGTAGTCATTTGAAAGAGCGACTTTTCATGATTATGGCAACCTCAAACTAACCCGCTCTCGCGTTGAAACTGCAATGTTAAACTCAAAAAAAGCAGGTCACATATCTTTTTTCTGCCGTTTGCCGTTTGCCATGAACGTCATGCTAAACCTCTCTAAAAACTCCTGGAAATACAATTTCCACCAGTCCCTAATGGCCGGAAGTCTGTTTTTTTTTATTACACTGGAAGTACGACTGGTAGGATAATGTCACAATACTCAAATACCATGTCTGCCTCGACGATCGTGACGGTTGCAGTTGTACTAAAATTGGAGGTTAGCTAAGAAGAAAAGATGATAATGCCAAGAGAGACTTGAGAAGAAATAGACTCTTAACTTCACAAAGGATAGATAAAATCGACCTTCTAAAAGTCATGATTTTGAAGAAGAGCTTCAGTCTGCCRTGCCTATTTTTAAGGACTGAACAACACAGCTTTTCTACGTTTGACCCGTCATCAAAACCATACGAATTTCTACAAGTCTGACAGTTTGGTTGGTATTGTTGAAATTGATATGGCATCAAACAAGCGGACATGCAGACATGATTCTGCAAATTGTTCCATTTGCAGTTAATGAAATGCATGGTGAAATAGTTTCAAATTCTCAATGTTTTCCAAGAATAGATGRTGATTTAAAGACAGATAAGACAAAATTACAAAGAAAAGTTAAAACATCATGCAAAAATCCTAGTCAACGTCTTGTCAAATGGGGAAGACATTCCTCTCAATCTTCCGTGCCAATTTTTAAGCCATGAACCACTCGCGACATTTCTATTATAGCCATTTAAATGACAAGACATTTAAACAAACTGAATGAAGAATTTTGTATATTATAACCATTAATTTTATGGCGGCTAATATATACAACGCAACTGTTCGTTAAAGATGAGTATCGAAAGGTAAGCTAAATATTATGCAGCAGTTGATTGACGAATRCCACACTTGTTATTGCCTCTTTGGAATATTAACGTTCGAATACCTATTCGCTAGGGATATTTGTACATAATACCCATTTACAGTAGGTATAAGACCACAAAATAGCTAGTCTGTTACATTTAGGTATAACGTTCATAATTCCTTTTGCACTGGGTATCCAGCTTAACACCTATTCTACTAGGTATAACTGTTCATAATACCTAGYCTAAAAGGCATAATGCACTTTTAATTAATACCTAACGGTTAGGTACTCTGGTTCCATATACTCAACCAATAGGTATAAAAATTTGTGTGCAGAATTAAATAAACAACCCGAAATTAAATTTACCCTTGTTATTGGTGGATTTTATAACACCAGTCCAGATGGCAAGAGCTTGGTTAAAACATACATGTCAATATTTTCGACACTAAAAGCACTTCAGCAGAAGACAACAAAAATTAAGATTAAAATAATCGTACCTCAGGCTGAAGTGGTGGTCTAAACTGCTTATGAAGTTCAATGATAACACGTAAGCATACAAGTACATTTTCTTCATTTTCAACCTGTCAATGATCAAAAAATATATCAAACTAATGCAGAGCAATCTCCAAGAGGTTTATTATTTTGTAATTTAAGCAAGTTGAGGTAAGTTCATTATTAGCTCACCTCCAGTAGAAGGAACATGAGAGAGAGGATTGACTGTAAAATGAAAAATTAAGGTACATGTATAAATCAAATGTTATATTGATCATGTCTAAAACTACATTTGTTGASAGACAGTTAATTTTTGCCTGGGCAACACTACAGAAGACTCAAATAAAATAAGCATTATACAGGAAGCAATCAAGCATGTGTCTGTCCATGTCCAAGGGAAATAACACTACAGTAGATTATATGAAAAGCTCTAAAACCTTCRATGTTGAATCTCTATACGAGTATCAAATTATTATCAAAAATTATTCTCATACCTTATAATGTGTTCTCAGATGTTCATTTGTTGGAATCCTATGCAGTATTTCCAAAAGCAACTTTCTTATTTGCTAATGTCATATTAATGAGCATAATATTAATGACAACATAAAGTAAGTCAAGAAAACCCACAAAACGTTTTTGAAAACAGTTTCATCCAAACATTTTGGACAATTATGGATTAATTGTGTGGAGATGAAAATGTCTATCAATTTCAACAACAAGAACAGTTGGATGAAGCATACATAATCTTAAAGTACACCTGAAGCCTTTTAGAAAATTATTTTTAACAAAAGGCACTTTATATATTTAATRCTAATAATTGTTTTGAAAGAGTTGTTTGAATTTTKTTTCTGAGTTAAAGGCATTTGAAAATTGAAAATGCTAATGAASTGACGTCAAAGAAGGCTTCATTAGATATACAAACTTTGAAGGAGTCACTTAAAAATGGTATCATGACATTAAATTTATCGTAGGCAATGTAGGCAATAACCATATTTTTTAGCAACTGTTTCAAAGATCCTATATCTAATGGAGCCCCCCTTGATGTCACTTCATAGTATTTTCAATTTTCAAATGCCTTTAACTCTGAAAATAAAATTCAAACAACTCTTTCAAAACAATTATTAGCATCATATTTGCCTTTTGTTAAATATGATTTTCTACATGTAAAAGGGTTCATGTGCACTTTAACTCTATTTATCTGCACTAGACAGCCAAACCCAAAGAGAATTCCATCATTACCACTGTTCAGTAACAAAAATTTATTTCTAGTAAATTTCTTTCATTACAAAAGAAAACTCTCAACAAAAGGCATCTTTTTACTTMTCAGTGCTTAAGGTTTGACTGATCAGTTCTGTCTAAATGAACACCCAAAATACAATGACAATGTAAAAAAACATACTGGATACAACTTTGATGATATTTTCAGCATTATACAAACCAAAAAATAGTGAATAGTTCTAATTCACATACAGTACATTACCTGCAGGGTGCTCTCTGCAACAAACTGTGGTTCTCCATCTCTTAGAAACTGAATGAATTTTGGGATTGCATGTTCCAAAAAGCTGGGATAGCTTGATGACTGTAWTATTGTCTACAAAGTAAAGTTTTTTGTACCTGTAAAAACTATACCAAGAACAAAAGCYGTGTTCTTTTCACATGCCCTAATGTTTCTTATTTTTTCAACTGATAAAATAATCATGAAATGTATTCTCAGTGTTCTTTTTAATTAAAAGTATGACACTTTGGACAGCATTGAAAACTATGTATTTGAACAAAATATCAAGCAAATTGAGGCACATAGTTGTAGAATTCGGATATGACCGCAATAATCATCCAACATRGCCAAAAGTTTAGAGCCTTGAAATAAGTGAGTATCAGATTTTTGGCTATAATTCTTTTCTTGCAATAAAGATTAGTTAGAGTAATCATGCAAATATGTTAGATTTGAAACATCAATATTATTTTAAATAACATCTACTGTACATGTGACAGGTAACTGAATTACATAATATCAAACCTTGAAACTCAGCAACCAACATGAGCTTATTATCTACATTAATTTTCATTAATAAACTTAAATTAAATAAATTATTAAAATAAATTATGTGTATCATGTATGTACTTACTTCAAAGTTTTCACTTATTTCTTGAGCTGCTTTAAGTTTATTTTCATCAGCTGGAAAAGGTATTTTGCAACAAAAATTACAATATTTTCAAAATTATCCATATTGTTTTAATATACATGTATATAATATTTAGCATTAATAGAATTGTTTGATATCATATTGAAATAGGGCAATCAATTAAGCCGTACTCTCAGATAATAATAAAGTATACCCCAAGTATGAGAAATGATTTTGAGAAAATAAAAGGACAAAAACTAAAACTCAAAGTTTTAAATATAATATTTGCAAATCACCATTTTTGACAAATATAACTAAAAAAGTGAAGAGCCTTTTTTTACTCAGTATCAGTCCAAAACAGTTCCACCTGTTTCTTATATGAAACATTGGCTTCCAACACAAAACCTTGGATCGACTTTAAATACAGTATACACGAAAACGAACGAGAAATKTTTGGGGATCGACTTACATAAGGGGTCAATTTTTGATTTATGCAAATTAGCTAAGTTTTTACAAGTGTTCCAATATAGAAAAGCTGAACGCCCGATTTGGAAGCGATTTTTTGGGGAAAAAAGGTGCGGTTGATACATAAGTAAATACAGTACAATCCCGGTATGAATTATTAGTAAGTACTTGAAGAACATTTATTAACTTACCTACAGATGACTCAGTCAGAAGGTTTGAATATGTTGTGCATTTTTTAATAATCCCTTCAGATGTGCTGTGTTGAGCTGGAATGGCATTAGCTGTTGCCATCTTTAGGCTTCACAAAAAGAACGATAATAAGCTTTTTCCAAATTAAATAAGTTTCGTAAATAAGCTTACGAACCTTAAAAGTTAAGCTTAACTTAATAACTAAGTTTTCTCTAGGTTGAAAGCTACGATGTCAAAGCCGMGTTTCAAAGTCTTATAGCATCTCACAAACTTGAATGCCGTTTGAAAAAATATAAAGAAAATTTGAGYAGTGTTCTATCTGCTCGTATTAAAGACAACATCTCACTAGCCTAAAAGCTAAGTGTTATTTTCTTACCAAAAAATGTCATTGACTGCAGTCAATCCGCCATGTTGAATCAAATGCCTCAGATCTGAGGGTCTTTCTGCGCATGTCACTTTAACAAC